ATAATAAAAGTCTTGAAGGAGGTAGAGCCATCGGGAGCATGCCCCAAAATACCTCCATATAAGCTATATATGAGAAAAACACAGTCAACATCATCCTAAATGGAGAAGCTTGAAGAAATCCCATTGAAGTCAAGAGCAAGACTGGGAGGTCCACTATCCCCACTCCTTTGTAATATTGTATGTAGATCATTGGCTGGAGAAAAAAAGCAAGATAAGGAAATGAAAGGGACACAAATGGGGGAAAAGAAGTCAAATTATCCCCATTGCCAAAGTATATTGAAGTATACATTAGAAATCACAAAATTCTACCAGAAAGCTTGTAGAAAAATTAGCAATGCGGCAGGATACAGAGTCACTTTTCAGAAACGAACAACGGACACACAGAGAAGGAGATCATGGACACACTTCCATTCACAATGACCTCAAAGAAAATGAAATATCTAGGAATAAACCTAACCAAAGCAGTGAAGGACATCTGCAATGAAAACTTTAAACTTCCAAAGAGATAAAGATAATAGAAAATAGAAAGACAGTCCATGTTTATGTATAGGTAAAATTGATATTGTGTGGAAATGACCATTTTATCAAAAACTACAGATTCAATGCAATCCTAATCAAAATCCCCATCTCATTCTTTAGAGAAATAAGAGCGTACTAGAACTTATATGAAGCTTCAAAAGATCCCAGATAGCACAACAACCCTGAGTTGCTAGAGCAATGCTAGAGGGATTACAATACCAGATCATATGATATATTACAGAGATATATTAATAAAAACAATAATCTCCTGACACAGAAACAGGCATGCAGACCAGCAGAAAAAAATAAAAGACATAGGGTAAATCTAACTTCAGCCACTTAATATTTGACAAAGATGCCAAAAACTCATATTGAATAAAAGGAAGCATCTTCAAAAAATGGGACTGGGGAAACTGATATCTGCAGAAGGATGAAATTAGATCTATACCTATCACCCTGCATGAAAACTAACTTCAAAGACCTAAGCAGGAAACACTGAGACTGCTAAAAGTAAACACAGGCAGTTGCCCTACATGATACATGTGTAGGAAAAGACTTCCTAAATACAACTCCATTTGCTCAAGAATTAAGGTCAACAGCTGACAATGGATTCACATGAATCTAAAAAGCTTCTGCAAAACTAATTAACCAGGTGAAGAGGAATCCCACAGAATGGGAGAAAATCTTTTGCCAGCTATGTATCTGAAAGAGGATTAATATTCAGAATAGATAAAGAACTCAAAAAAGAAAGACTCAAGAAACCATCCAAAAACTGGCCCAGGACCTGAACAGAGAAGAAAAAAATATTGGCTAAGAAATATCATAAAAATGCACATTGTCTTTAGAAAGTAGGGAAATGTAAATCAATGCATACTTGAGTTTTCTTCTTACTTAAGTCAGTATGGCAAGCATCACCAAACAATTTACAGTAAATGCTGGAGTGGGAGTGAGGAAGCTCATTCATGTTCATTGTTGCCATATTCATAATTCCTAGAAAATGGAAACAATCTAAATAACCTTCAAGTAACAAATGGATAATGAAAATGTATAAATATACCATGGAATACTATTCAGCTATAAAGAAAAATGAAGTCATGTAATTTGCCAGTGAATGGATGGAACTGGAAAAGATCACGTTGAGTCAGGTAACCCAGACCCAGAAAGACAAATACCAAATGTGCTATTTTATCTCTGGTTCCTAGCTCTGAGTCTTCAGATGTGGGGACATAGCCTGGAGTAACTGTAGAAGCCGAGAAAGTACAATGAAATCATTGCCAGGATAGTGGGTTGTGGAGCAATAGAGAAGGAAAGAGCAAAGTCCTAGTGGTCTGATCAAATGATGGGGAAACAGGGAGCTCTTTAAGAAGTGAAACAGAGGCAAATAGAGAAGAAGGAGGGAGCAGGGTAAAAGGGACGAGCAGTGAACAAGTGATTTGATTAGGGCAATGAAAAAAGGGAGAGTTCCTTATGGTAGAGTAGGGAGGTAAATAGAGAAGAAAGGAGGAGGGAAAATAACAAGAGTTTCTGGGAATGCCACAAGGAATCATATGATCAACTATTTACTTCAACTATTAAATTTAATAATGTGTATTAATATGCACATATGATTTTAATGAAACTTTTTTTTCTCCAATAACATTGCTCTCTCTAAGAACCAAAGACCACCCAACAAAAATCTCTGTATCAGGCATGAGAACCCTTCTTTTTTGATTGTTGACCAGAGCATACAGCCCAATGCTATTGTCATTGGTTATCTCCTATAGGTGAAAGGTAAATCCCTATTGCTGAAAATACCATTCACTTCAGAAACAATGCCCAGAGACCCCTGAACTAAAACTGACTTGATTGTCTCTTCCCTGAGAACTAACTTTCATGCCATTCAAGCCTTCCAAAAGAAGGATACAGCAAACAATCCTAGCCAGCTATGATGCCTATAAACCACACCAATGACCAGCATGGCATGATGACTCTAAGGATGCAGTAGTGGCACATATTCCTTGGCAGTAGCCAACAGCTTTCTAATTGGATTTAAAGTCTGTTTAACAGAAGGAAATTCATGCCTGACACTAGAAACCTACCCAACTATCAGTGCTAGTGAAATCATAGATATTGAAGGAGAACCTACAAGCACTACTTTACTAAACCAGCATAATGTCTAACAACAATGTAAACATTTGCCCTAATATACACAGATAAGTGTAGTCTTTGCTTCTCATCAAGGAAACTTCCCTTTGAAATATCAGGGGGGAGACCCTTACAGGAAGCTATAACCAAACAAAATATAGTCGTGGAGCCCAACCCTAATGGATATATCTATAGAACACTCCTGCACCGAGTGCTCAGGGAGCATTGAGGAAATAGAAAAGGGTGTAAGAGCCAAAGGATCAGGGAGTTTGCTGTAAGACTGCGTTTCCTAGTGATGTCAGAAGCAACACCAGTAAAGTCTTCCTAAATCATGGCTTTTGTAAACACACTCTGAGCAAGGAAATAAAAAATTGACATGCCAAAGTAGACTTTGGAAATACCACCCAGGCCTCAATCCCAGACAAAGAACTAAAGACAACTAAATAATGCTGAGAGTGGAAGAAATAGTCTTACCCAAGGAAGCACTCATCAATTTGTTAATCCCCATTAGTCATCCCTAAAAATACACAAGTAACATACAAACCAAGCAGTGTGTGTGTGTGTGTGTGTGTGTGTGTGTGTGTGTGTGTGTGTACATGTACATATATGCATGTAATCACAATGATAAAAAGATGCTCTGCATTTGAAAGAGAGAAAGAAGGGGTGGATAGGAGGTTCTGGAGTTACAGAAGGGTAGACAGAAATGTAGTTATAATCTCAAAGCTTTTAAGTAATTAAAGGTGTAGGACTAATATGCCTAGCATACAGCGGGAAGGTTGCTATTTTGTTTTCTATGCCCCAAAGCCCCCCAGCCCCTCACTCTTCAGCAAATGCATTGTGCTTCTTCATTTGCTCTGAGATTTGGCTTTTCTTGGTACTTTGGGACTTGTTCCTCTCCAAGAGACACTGTACCCTCATTAGGATTGGTTGGAGAGATGAGTGAGAGCCAATGTTCCTGCTCTACTGCCTGGTTCTTTTTATATCATAGTAAACCTCGTGGTGGATTGTAAAAGTCCCTGTGCCTTTATTTTCACCTGAAAGCAAAACTCAAAGTACCATAGCTTACCTTCAGCAAGGGCAGAATGCTCCCTGGAAGAGTCTTGTAGAATTGTGTCCCTTTCTTGATGTGTCCAACTTCCTGACACTACTGTCCCCTACTCCCGGAATTTCAGTATTTCAGTTTGTTGTTCCTACCTTTTCAGCATATGCCAGCCTCATCACACACACACACACACACACACACACACACACACACACACCCCATATAAAATATTGAGGCAAGTCCCTGAGTACCAAAAACTAATTATCAGGGATCTCATATAGTGATGCTTTACAGAAGGAGTTACTTGAGTTACTTTTCTATCTACCACATAATGTGTGTAAGGCTACACTCTCTCTAGCAGTATGAGCATTTTGTTATTATGTGAAAGTTATATAATTCTCTGCTCCCCTCCATCCTGTCCCCATCCTCCTCCTTGTCCCATCCAATTTTAAATTTCATTTCTGGGTTTTCTGGGTCTCCAAGAAGGGACTATTGTGGGGCTAGAGAGTTCTCTGAGGCCATTCTTTAACAATGAGTTGCCTTGCTAATGCAGTTCCACTAAAGAACAGATTTGAGTCCTTATCTTAGAGCCCGCTGTACCCTCAATTTCCAACGAGGCAGGAGAGGAGGCAGAGGATTAATCTTCTGGGAGAGTAGAGGTAATTGATGACCTGCACACATAATGGCCATGTCACATGCTCTGACAAAGAAGTTGCTTTTTTTCTGAATCACGATTCAATTTCATTAAATCTTACAAAAGCATAAAAATTAAGCTGGACTAAGCAGTGCAGCATTTAGCCAATCACCTTTTCTGAAGAAAAGGGAAAAATATTACACAAATTCCTGCCAGAAAATTCAGGCAGTGTGGTCATCATAGTTCTGGGATAGATATGCAAATTAAGTATGAAAAAATAGTCAAGTCCTGGGGCCAAATGATAATTTCTGCTAAATAATTCAGGCCATGTGAACTCTGATATTTTCCTTACTTTAATGAGTATAATGTGTGCAATTACCAACTGCTTTCCTCATGGAGCCAGACAATGTGTTTTTTCCTAATTGTGGGCTCCATTTTTCTTTAGGTAACTCATATCTGCAAGGTTTCCTATAGCCCAGTGTCTTGCACATGTAGCCACTAAAGAAATGTTCATTACTGAGTTGATGATAATTATAACAAAGAAGAAAAGGACTGTAGAACAAAAGCTAAGTGTGTCTATAAGGTGGTCAGCAATAGACAGATATCATGTAAATGATAAATCTCATGACATGGGACCTGAGCTCCTCTGTGACACTGTCTGTCTTCTTTTTCCCTATGCAGGGAAGTGACGCTGACACGGTGGATAAGAATAAGTGCTGTACACTCTGTAACATGTCCTTTACCTCAGCTGTGGTGGCCGACTCCCACTACCAAGGCAAAATTCACGCCAAAAGGTTAAAACTGTTGCTAGGAGAGAAACCTCCATTGAAAACCACAGGTATGTGTGGGAACAAATGTTTCAGGCTGGCACTGAGAGCCATACACTGCATCTGTCACATGAACCACCCTCTCTTCAGAAGCTGCAAGCTTTGTGGCTCTAATGGCAGGTGCCTTTCAAAACCCACAAGGATGGATTGGAAGCCTGGGCACAGCAGACCACTGAGTGTGATTTCAGCAACTATTGTTTACACCCTCTAGGATGTTTGTCACACCTATTACATACCATTCAAGACACATGTCTGTGGTGCTGTCTCAGGTTCAGCCTGTACTCCACAGGGGTACAGATGTGCACACAGCATAGGAAGTAGGTTCTGTCAATGTCTATCTAAAGCCAATACCATCCTTTACATTTGTGCTTTACACACAGCAGGGTGTTATTCTATGCTCTTAGTTTAGTGTAGGGGAGGCAGTGATGGAAACTGTAGTCTTTACAGCTACTTTAGTTTGGAGACAAGTATGTATTTATGATATTCCTGCTATCATTACTGGGGAAGCTGTGATTCAAATCTATTAACTTTCATCAGTAGCAAATATTGATAGCAGACTACTTGACCTTCTAAATGCTTAACCAAAGAATGTCTTCAGAGGTTTATCAAATTGAGAGGCTAATTTTTTAATATAATTTAGTAACTCTAAAACTATTTGGAAAGATTTATATCATGATGAAGATGTTACTGCACTGGGTTATAATCCCAAGAAGTTAGGGGATATTTTTCATTATGTCTACTTTTGCAGTGCAATTAAAATTTAGTAGTGCATCTTATCTGGCTGTCTAATGAATCGTGCATAAATCGTGGGTGTAATTATTTTTAAATGGTATTTTGAAAACCAGAGAGTGTCTGAAACAATGCTTGGCTTTTACATCCCTGGAGTTTTTCTTAAGCAGCAGTCTTCTTTTGCTTAGCAAATAGCAAGAAATCTTTTCTTTTCCAGCTTAGTTTGAGTAAAGCATACTATTTTCTTGGAGGTGGATGTGACATTCATGTGTAGAATGGTTTTGTCTGGGAACAAGTGCAGCTTATTTTGGAGGCTCTACGTGATGTGGCATTGATCAAGCGATGCTCTATTGAGACGCTTGTTCTCTGAAAGGCTGGGGCACTAACCTTGTGACCTACACATCGTCAAACCTCTTAAAATAGACATCACAAAGAAACAGTCACTGGAAAATTTTTATCTACTCTGTCCATGAATGAGTAACTAGCTGGTGTGTTCTCTTTGCCTAAGCAGAATAGTGATGTTAAATTTCCTTTTGGAAGTAGTAATGGGAGGAGAGTGGCTGTATCTTTATTTATTGCCCTGATTAGTAAATGGGAAAATGATTATTTCTGTATCAAAACTATCACATGCCAAAAATAATTCCTTGTGACTTTTGTATCCATCTTCAAGAAAACCAAGGACCAGATCATTTTTTTCCCAGAACTAGGCCACAGAACTCAGGGCTGACTTATTAACTCTCAATATATTCCAAAGACAGGGACTAGTATGACAGCTTAGAGGGTAAACTCACTACTAAGCCTGCAAAACCTGAACTTGGTTCCTGGACCTCTGTGATGGAAGGACAGAACTTAAACTTTGACTTCTACACATACATTATGGCAAGCTTGCCTCCACATAAACAAATATATGAGAGGCAGAGGGAGAGGGAGAGAAGAGAGGGGGTATTCCAAAGACATTCAAGGTGTCCCATTATTCAGTGAGTTGGCTCTTGCTATTCATTGTTCTAACTTAGCCATGAGGTTGCAGAAATCCAGGAACCTGTTGGGCCAGGACTTAATGGGAATGGGAAAGGATAATTGCACTATCAGCTGGAAGCTTCCATTGGGAATCAGGGTATCTAGTTGTCATCATAGACTCTTTCTCATCCAGTTCATACTTTTCTTCTCCAGCATCTCATCCATCTGCTTTGAGTAGAAACCATCTTGAAAGGTAGCAACCACAGACAAAATTGGAGTCCTCAGAAGCTAAACCAATTCTCACGACTGGAATTGTGCCAGCCATTAGACACAAAGAACATACAGAAATAGGCACTGGGAGGTGTGGCCCAGGCTAAAGGTTAGAACATGGATGGGACAAAGGGTAGCATGCTAGTGTGGCTGTAGAAAACTTGAGTGATGAAGCAGAACACCTGTAGTTATTGACAGCAGGATTTTGCTTACGGTTCTGGGGTTTAGGGAAAATAAGAAGGGGTACCCATTGTGTTAGGTAGGGTTTCTATTGCGACAAAACACCATGACAAAAGAGCAAATTGTGGTGGAAAGGGTTTATTTGGCTTACATTTCAGCATCACTGTTCATCACTGAAGGAAGTCAGGACAGGAACTCAAGCAGGACAGAAACCTGGAGGCAGGAGCTGATACAGAGGCCATGATGGGGAGCTGCTCACTGGCTTGCTTCCCACGGCTTGCTCAACCTGCTTTCTTATAGAACCCAGGACCACCAACCCAGGGATGACATCACCCACCATTGGCTGGACCCTGCCGTATTGATCACTAAATGAGAAAATGCCTTATAAATGGACTCAGGGAGGCATTTCCTCAGCTGAGGCTCCTTCCTCTGATGACTCTAGCTTGTGTCAAGTGGACAGACAAAACCACCCAGTATACCCATTGTGATATGTACTCACTTGTAAGTGGATAGTAGCTGTAAAATAAAAGACAATCATGCTTCAGGCCACAGACCCAGAGAGGCTAAGTAACACAGAGGGCTTAGAGTGAGTTACAAGTATCTCCCTGGTAAGGGGAAATAGAATAGATTTTGTAGATGGACTGGGGGTGGGCAGGAACAAGAGGGATTAGCTAAATAGGGGAGGGAAAATACTGGGAGAAAGGACTGGATTTCAGCATTTTAAGGTGAGTTGGAAACCTAGTGCAATGGAAGTTCCATGGAATCTATGAGAGAGACCCTAGGAAAGAGTCCTAGTAATAGGGGACAAAGAGGCTGAACCGGCCATCTTCTGTAACCAGGCAAGGCCTCATGTGGAGGTACTGGGACACTGCTCCAGACACAAAACCTATGCCTTACAGTTTGTCCTGCCTGCAGAGTGTTCTGGGACCATAGCCTAGCAGAATCTTTTTCAAAGAGATTGGAGAGATTTCATCCAGCAAGCATGGCAGCAGATGCAGAATCCCACAGTTACTAGGCAGAGCTGGAGGAGCCCTGCAGAGGAGGGGGAAGAAGGACTGGAGGAACCAGCAGGGACAGGGACGCCAGGAGAACAAGGCCCACAGAATCAACTGACCAGGGACTCATGGCGGCTCGAAGAGATCGGGGAGCCTGTAGGGGTCTGAACTAGTTCACCTGAATATATTTTATTGTGGAGTAGCTTGGTGTTCTTGGGGGATTTCTAACAGTGGGAGAGGGGTCAGTTGCTGACTCTTTCGCCTCCTGATGTGACCCTTTCCCTCCTACTTGGTTACCTCATTCAGCCCTGATTTGATAGTATGTGCCTGGTCTTACTGTAGTGTATTATACTGTGTTTGGTTGATGTCTCTGCTGTTCTCTGAGGGGTGATGAGGGGAGAGACTGGGAGGTTGGGGAGAGAGGGGAAATTATAGTTATTGTGTAATATATGAGAGAAGTGTAAGAAAAAGAAAGAGGGCCACAGTGACCACAACAAGTTAATGAGTAGTTGTCAAGATGGAGGATGTCACTGAGGTGTAGCCAAAAACACAAACCCAGTTATTGTGAGGGCAAGAACCTAGAAGCTGGAGAAGACCCATGCCAGAACATCCTGAGTTGCTGTGCCAGTTCTTTGCCTGACATAACATAGCCATTCCTTGCAGACCACAGCCTTTCCTAGCAGCAGTTTAGAGAGGGTTCAGTTCTGAGGTTTCCCTGTGCATACATGGGCTAGTACTGCTTAATTAGCTTGGCTGGGTTGAAATTATATCTGTAATGAAAACAAAAGGGAAACACTGACATGTATGACCCAGTACCTGAATCAGGGTGCCAGAGAGAAGCAATTTCCTGCTCAGGTATGGCTCTTATGCTGCCATGTCATGAATAATAGCTTCTCATACCCCAGTGATTTCTGGGTAGGCATAATTGGAGTCAAGCTTGTTCCTTCGCTATGCTGCTTCATCTGATGGAGATGAACAGTCAGGACTGGCAAATCACTTTCTTCCACCTCCATCTATCCTTGAATAACACATCAGCTGAGCATTCTGTAGGTCCCACTGCCCTCTGAGGTGCCTTCTTCAGATGAGAACATCTTTAATAGGGCTTCAGAAATGTCTGGCCAGCCCACTGGAATGCTGGAACACAAACCAGTTCTATATCTTGGCTGGTGTCTCTGAATCTCTGGTCCAGACACAGCTGTGAAGATAAAAGCACAAGGAGAGTTTCTGGACTGCCACATGTTCACAGGGCCAAAGAACTTGGGGTGTGGATTGTACCCAGATGGGAAGAGAGATGGATGTTGCCCATATCTTATCATTTGCAGCAAGACCAGAGAAACTGGGCTATGTAAAAAGAGGCGAGAATACAGAAGGCTATGTCACTTAGCTATCTCTATAGCAACAGGACAATGATATTCTAATTTGCAATTGGGAGAAAAAGGCATACAGACCAATTTTAAGTAAAAACAATGATGGTGATTTAAAAAGTTAAAAAAGTGATGTTTAATCCTTTCCCTTATTCTTCTTCATCCCCTATAGAATAGAGAATCTTAGGGGGAAAATGGAAGATTTGAATGAACAGGTAATTCGCACATCACAATTTACCTTTTGGGCTTCCTTTTCTCCAGCTGGATTCTTGCTGAGTGCTGCTAGGTGCTGTAGAGTCAATGCAGGGCAAGATTGAGAGGTTCACTGATTTGATTGATGGCTTGTGGCAGAGCCCTGGGCAGCTGGGGCAGGGAAGGAGATAGAGTATGTTCACAGAGTAACCAGCATCCTGAGATTTGTCTTAGCACGGAGTCCCAAAGGACTAGAACAGTTGTGAGTGGGTATTACTGAATTCTAAAGCCAGGGTGAATTTAGTCTCTTGCAGCTCTAACAGC